GTGGGCTGCCTACTTAGTTTTGTAATCTTACCAGTTTAATTATGATTATACAGTGAAAAGCCATCACTGTTGCAGTTCCCCCAAAGAACTGCAGATATTTTATTAGCTGTAGCCTCACTACTGCTGGCTGTGTCCAAAATGCTTTTCCCTAATTTATACTGAAATGGTACATTTAAATTTGCAGGCTGGATTCAGTGCCAAGGTATCATGCTCCTCAGTGAAAAATTCTGGTCAGAGTAACATAAGCTTGAGTGAATTTTACGCATGCCAAGCCTGTTGTGATTAACCATCAGTGTTAAAAAGGCTGTCTAGGTGGGAAATCGTGAGTCATTGTTGGAACATAATTTGTAGAAAATGAATGATCAGTATCTTTTTTATAGTTGTTCTCTGTGCCAAAGCAACATCCCCTGTGATACCCTGTGTTCTAGGAAAGACAATTTTAATTTGTAAGATATATTAAAATTTCTGCTTCATGTACTCTTTACAGTTAAGGCAACCCCACTGAGGAGTAGAAACTGGTGGCACAAGGGATACAAGGTTTCTCAGAACAGGTTGTATCCACAAAAACCATCATGGATTCATGGCTTGGGTCCACTGTAGTTTGTGTCATCAGTCCAAACTAGTGACATTACCAATAGCAACGTCAGTGAAACACCAAATATCAACTTCATACCAGTTCTCCTAGCTGTCAGTCAACAGGACAGACTAAAGGCTGTAGCAGCCAGTGTAGATCTAGAGCTCCTGGGACAAAACTGCCAACATGAAAAATGCTCAGAATGGGTTTAACTTAAAGAAGAATCTACTTCTCTATTTTGTGCAGCCTGAATCTTTCTATTTTGCACGCTGAAGATGTTTAGTCATAGTTGCGTTGTGTTCTGTGACAAGAGAGTTTTTGTAGGAGTTCATGATCGTCATATCCCACACCATGGTGTCATTTTACCATTTTGTGTCCAGCTCTTTCCAGTGGCATCACTGCAGCAATCTGTACGTGAACTTTTGCCGCCCTTCTGAAAGCAGCTGCACAAAATCTGCAGGAAAAACACCTGTTGTGTACCCATCCAGGCAGCTACATTACAGCAGTGCACCGTCCTTTAAATTGCTGTGGAAAGAACTGCTTACATAGTAGATGACAACGTGACCCTGCTGAGGTATGGGAGAAGAAATACAGAGAGCACAAAACCCACTCAAAATTTGCTAAGCTCTGACAGTCAAGAGTGATGGGCCAGAGTCCTGGATAAAGCTCAATCAAAGCAGGAAAGCCAGATACTTGTGTGTAAGATGTCGCACCAGTGTTAACCAAAAATGAATGCTACATGCTGTGGTGCACACCATCTCTGCTTAAGCACTCCCATCTCCAAGGTATAGAAAGCATAAACTCCCAGTATCTGAGAATTAGTATAAGTTCAGATCAGGATGAAAAGCACATTTCAACTAGGCAGTTGTAGTAATGACCCACATGAAAGACTGCTGCCAACATAACAGCGACAGGCCTTATGATTGTTGCACAGTTTGGTGGAACAGGCTACTTTTAATAGTGTCAAAAATACTGCACTGTAAATTAACTCTGTGTTTACTGACAGGAACACACACCAAGTGCAGGTGTGCTATGATCACTGGCATTAGCAAGTCTTGCAGTGAGATAATGGGGTCTTTCAGAGCTTGGCATCACTGCTTTTTAATGTTGCTATCAGCAATATTCTGGCAGTTCTTACAAAATGATAATGGAAAGGGCCGTTCATGATAAAGATCAATGGTAAAGAGCAGACAGTAAAAAGGCAATGGTGATCATTCTGCAGATTGTCACTCAGACTAAGAATTCTGTTCCTCTTTCTACTTGGTGAAAAGCCTTTGTGTGTTAACTTCTACAATATTAAACTTAAATACACTGGTGTTTTGAAATACGTTTAAAGGTTCCAAGTTATACATACTATGTATGTCTGCGATCAAGATGAATGGTAGAAGAATCTTACTTGAGGCTACATGGGGAAAACACTCTTCAGCCATTGTGAAATAAAAAAGCAACCTCTGTGATAAAAGGAGCTCTCTTGGGTCATTAGATTACTACAAGAAATAGGGGAAAAGCAGTGTGACAAAGAATTAAAGAGCTATTGATAAGTGCCATTTTCTACATATATTTTGGAGGAGAGTTTCTGCCTTTGCATGACTGAACGATAGCCTGCTTTGCAACAGCAAATTTCAAAACTGCAGATATATGCAAATATAAGACTTGATGGGTCAATTTTTTTTATCGAGTATTCTTTGACACAGTTCCTCTGCAACCCAGCCTAATTGTATATGTAATGTCAACAGGGGCTGAACTTCCTAAAAGTGTTCTCTGTTTGTAATTGTTGAATGTTGAAATGATCCATTTATTTTGACCAAGGAAAGTAGTGAGGTGATTTATAAAACAGTTGTTTACAGATATAAAGGGAATTTGGAGCTGATACAGCTGACACCACTAGAAGTATTGCAGAATGTCAAAATCTTGGTCACATGATTAGTAGCCTATTTTCTGTCAAAGTTGAAAAGCAACAGCATCAGACATTGTCCTACATCCACTTGTAAGTTTGGAAAAGTACTTAGCATGTACCACACAAATGGAGTGGACCCTTTAGTTTGGCTATAAAGTCAGATATTAAAAAATATGCAAGCTATATTTTTTGAGACAAACCAGTTAAAGATGAATAATTTTTTATTTTCTATTAATAAAGTTTTCATACATATGTGAATACCACATAGGCAATGAGAAAGTTAAACTTGGAAACAACAAAACCTTGTTTATATGAAAAATCACTAAGAATGGGGGTGTTTGAAATCCTTTTCCAGGACTTGGATCTGGGATTCTTCCTCAAACTTTTTTTTTAATATTAAAATCACATAATGGTTTGTGTTGAAGGAAACTTAAAGATCATCTGCTTCCAACTTCTCTGCCGCGGGAAGGGCAACCTTCCACCAGAGGAATTTGCTCAGGCCCCCTTTCAGCCTGGCCTTTAGCTGGAAATATATTTTAGGCAGCTGGTCTTACATGCTAGTAGGATATTTTGCCTTTGGCATCTGTTCATCTTACTCTTGCAGTAGAAGACCTTTGACATCCCTTGTTGCTGCCTATCTCATTATTTGGGTTTTCCCTATACTGATGCTGGTTTTCATGACAGAAGATGTAATTGCTTTAACATGATTTGTTCTCAGCAAAATCACATTTGCTATTACCTGTGTTTTTCTTAACTTTTGGGACTCTTGATTATGAATTGCTGTATATCCATTATTATTTGCTGTTATTTCTACAGGAATTAAAGTGAAGCTGATGAGAGTTACCCTTTTCCTAGCCTCTCAAAAGTACATGCTATGTTTCTCTTTCCTAGCCTGCCAGAGCTTTCTACACCTTTTCCAAGTTTTAAAATTCCCAGTTTGTTCTGTCAATATCACAGTTGATTTTTCCTCAGCCTGGACAGCTTCCGACCATCACACTGGCATAACCCTTCTCTTACTAGACCAAGTTTGTACACCCTTTTCTTTGCTGTTGGTTTTACTAACATCTGATCACTGTGAAAACTTCTAGGGAGGACTGAAACCAACGAGATATCAAACACTTTTGCTTTCTTGTGATATCTGTTGGTAGGTTGGAAGAGTAGAGAGGCAAAGCAAAAGCTTTGCTTTTTCCTTGCTGTATTTTCTTGTTATCCCTCACTTCCTTTGTAGCTCTCTTTCATTTCATGCCTTTGAACTATTTGACTCTTGAGTATATGGGAGAGCTGACAGCATTGAAAAGGGTATGAGAAGAAGGAGATGGATTGATCTTAATGGAGGGATTGCAGAAAGATGAATGGATAACAGAAGTGGACATCTCCATCCAGTTCTGTCGTTCTGTCCCTATGATGGAAAAGAATGCCTCCACTGTCCTGCAGGAGCACATACCTTTGACTTCAGTTTTGACTATGTAGTTGTCACATGCAGATGGGAAGAATGCAGACTGGCACGAAGGGAAGCGAGCAGCAAATTACTCTTGCTCACACCTGCCTGGGAGCTTTCTGTGTTCTGTACTGTGTGTATGAACTGCTGGATGGTAGGCTTGCAAGTCAACTCAAGCTGATGGAAAGCCTTACATGGAAATATAATTATATACCAGCTGGCACATTTTCAGAATCGCCTACTTACTTATGTGTGCAAAACCTGTGTCCCAAATCTAGTTACATTTTCTCAAATGTGTGGTGGGGTTTGGAACATAAGCACAGCATCAAATATATATTTTCCTATATATAACAAAGGAATCTCCTTTGCTGTTATGGGTTGGCTGTGCATTTTTCCCATAAGGTTAGTTTGGACACTAGTACCCTTTAAAAGAAGCTGACAGGAGATTCTGCATATGGACTGTGATTTTCTGAAGCTGTTTTTCATGATTAAATAAATGTATTACCTTAAAATATAGTGATTTCATGGAATTTGACATAGGTCATGAAGATATTTATGAAATACAATCTTGTTACATCAAATTTTTTGGCTGAACTTAAGCTTTTTTTTTTTTTTTGCATAATTTCATGTATATGATATTGTGAATTTTTAGGTCATCAGGATGTACAAAATCTCTCTGTACTGAAATAAGGGGTTTGTGAGGAGTTTGGCAGAGTGTTTTGTAATGCAGGTCACAATGAAAATTGACCAGTCCTGGGATAACTCTTTACTTGTAAATAGAGTATTATAAAAATAAAAAATTTAAAGTATAAATTTGAAGTAAAATTTGAAAAGTTTGGAATATTCTGTAGGTCTGAAACCATTATTTAGTATCTTGAAACCACACTTATTAAGTCTAATAGAATACAAATTTTCCAACTCTTAAAAATTAATTCTTCCTAAATCAATTTTCTTCAGTGTTTAGCAATGACTTTCCCATGAAAAACTGGTGTGTAACTTTATGCTGAAGACAGTTCAAAATCAAATGCTATTTAAAAAATCTTATTCCAAAGTGAATTTGACATGCTTCTTTTTCTTTTTGCCTTGCACAGGTATCATTTTTCTTGTTCATCATTTTTGTGGTGTACACCATGCTGCCCTTCAACATGAGGGATGCTATAGTTGCCAGCGTTGTGACCTCTGCATCTCACACGATTGTGCTGAGCGTCTGTCTGTCAGGCACAGCTGTTGTAAAGGAGCACTTGGTTTGGCAGGTAGGTGCTTTGTGGAGTTAATGAGTAACTGCGTGTTGAGTTGCCTGGTAAATGAGCCAGGAGTGCCTTAGTGGGTGCTTGGAGTATAAACTTATTTCTGTCTTGATTTCTGAATTGCTAATTCACAGGTAATTAGCTTTCTAATAATGAGGGTGTCAGGAATGTTATGTCTTCCTGAATTACACGCAGAAGTGGTGGAATCTGTAGCCATGTAGCACTTACCATGTGAAAACTTAAATTCCTGAAAAAATACGTAATGCAGCTGTACTGTGGTAGGTGCCCTACCCCTCTGGTTTGTAAAGAATGTTGTTCATCTCCTCACCTCATTAAGGCCTTCCTTCCAAGGCCGAGGAATTTTTCCAATTAGCAAAATACTATCTTTGACATTGTTCCTTTGAATACGCTTAAGTTAGCTGGGTTAAAGTTCTGCTGTGAAGACATTGCCCTCTACAAGTCTGCCCTAGGTCTTGTCCTCCTTCTGTAACTCACAGCCATTTATAGGAGTTTTACTGCCTCACCCTGGTTGGTCCCAAAGATTGAACAAGATTGGCTGGCTCCAGACTCCATGACATTTTGGGCACCTATCTGTGTTTGCAGTTGAGTCTTGGATTGTAACTCAATCCTGATAATCTACCACATGACATACTGCAGATTAATAATTTGTAAAAATCCAAATATTAAGAGTTGTTTTTCCTTACTCTTTTACAGAAGATCCTTTAAATGGTGAATTATTACTGTTTTAGTTGTAGTGCTGTGATGATCCCAGCTGACATTGATAGACATAAGATTTCATTCTGAAAAACAAAGACATGGGTTTGGTTTTTTAGTATAGTTATGCTATGTTAAGGAAACAGAATTATTTTAACTTTTTCATTAAAATGATACTGAATCTTTAAAGTAAACATGTTCTAATAAACATACTAATAGAACAAGAAAGACAGACATCATACTATTTATTATGAATAGCATTAAGAACAAAGCAAATAATAGTTTTAGCAAATAACCATAGCAAATAACCTTTTGAGATACTTATGGCTTACTTTGAGAAACATTGTGCCTCAAAGTGATTTTACAAATGTTCTGCCTTATAACTTGTTGTTCAGGAAAATACATTTTATTTCCATTTATGGCTGCAGGAATATGTTATATGGAATACTGAAATTGAAGTCTGGTAAACAGTATGTGTTCTGAGATGTAATTCTCTGTAGAAATTTTAAATTATGAACAAGGTAGTTTTGCTTTTCTCTTGCTGATTTGGATTAGTTGAGTATTTTTTTGTGAAGGTTGCAAAGTTGTGCTGCATGTTAAGCAAGAACTGTAGTCATCTGCAGTTAATATAGTATTTAAATAATTCAGTAATATAATTATTGATATTTGTAGTGGAAAAAATCAGACAATATTACTCTTTAGTTTTTTGTTAACCTATGGCTTTTATTCTGGACATTGATACACTGTTAAAGCAGTATTAATGTTTGCCACTCTTCTAAAATTGTTTTGGGTTAAAGTTGCTGTTTGCAAAAATTATTTATTTTTCTTGCCTGTCTAGACCATTAACAGTTGGTATATCTAAAACAATGCTTTCAGAAGATGTTGTATTTTTAGACACATCACCTCTACAGAATAAAAAGAAATAAATCATGGTCTGTGAGGCAAAATTATTGTCTTTCCTCTCTTCTGTAACTTTCTGTTTCATTCACAAAGAGTGGCAGTCTTGCCACAATTTGTAAATGTGTTGATAATGTTTAGTTTCTGTGTTGTTACTAGCTTTCTATTCTGTCTTTGTAAAATGTGTTAAGTGTTATGAATAACTTGGCAATTACTGGAGGTACTGATTGCACTGCATTCTTGCGAATTTGTGGGAAGGACAAAATGATGCTCCCTCATTCAATTTCATTTGCCCTCTGTACATTTTAAAATTATTATCGTTTATACTTCGGAGTGTAAGAAAAAGTGTTTGTTTTGTGCTCTTTGCTTTTGAAAATTGAGGCTACAAATAAGGGCTTAGGCTAGAGACACTGATTGCACTAAAAAGAGAAATAACATTTGTCATTGATATACCTTAAGTTCATATAGGACATTATAGTATATATATCTTGTATCCTTCAGTAGAGAATACCTGCATCTCCCTTATAATTGCTTCCTGTGTTTTGAGACTTCCATTGTATCCTCTCTGAACTTTCTCTTGGCTGAACATTCTTTCAACCTTTCTTCTTATGTCAGGTTCTCCTGCCTTATAGTGCATTTGATAGGCCTTTGCTGGACCATCTTCAGTTTTTCAGCATCTTTCAGTGGCTGATTGTCATCCCATAAAAATTCAAAAGTTAATCATACCTTCAGTCTATGAGAGAGAAAAATCGATGTCCCGAAGCATCTGCTCATTTTGAAATTTGGCAGAGCCTATCTGACTGGTTTTGTCAGTCCTTTGTTATCCTCTGTAAGATTTTGCATCAAAAAAGTTGCTTCCTTAAAGCTGCAAAGCTTAGGATGCTCTTGATCCAGGGTCTGTTGTGATTAGAGGTACTGAGATAAGGCCTCCTGCTGGGATAAAGGAGGATTCTTCAACAGACTCTGCTGGTTACATGAAGTAGTCTCTCTTTGACCTACATGTCTTTTGCGGAGAGGAAACACACCTCAGTTTAAAAATCGGGAATGGTGGACATGCGCTTCCACAAACCTTTATAATTTTTCCATGGCTGTTGAGCACCAGTGTTAGAATTCTGTTCATCTTTCTTGTTAGGAATTTGTCTAGCCTTGTCATCCAGCTTCTGGACCTCATTTTTCTGGCCGGTAGGCTGACAGACCCAACAGGATCCAATTTCTGTTCCTTCCACGAGAGTGCTTGTAGAATATCATGAGTTTGCCTCATAACCTTTTTGTCAGTAAAATAAACGAGTTGCCTGCTTTTGCACTAGCTAATCCTTTCATCACTTTCACAGTTGTTCTTTGAGTCCTTGCTTGTGCTTCATCAACATGTTTCTTGCAGCGTGGGCATTTCCCTTAGAGGAGCGTGCCAGGAGCAGCTGCAGCCGTGCCAAATGCTAATAGGGGCCAGGTCTACAAATGGGTCAGTGTGCTGCCGTGCCCAGCAGCACAGCGAGACACAGCCCCTCCAGTGCAACACCTGGCTCAGCCTCCCTGCACGCTCCTCTGCGGAATTTAATGCACAGCTGCGGGATCTATGACGGGAAGGGGGGAAAAAGGCTCCTGTGTTCCAGCCTCAGTTTATGAAAAAAAAACAACTGTGTATGTATGTTTTGGGGTTTTTTTTTCTGTTGAAACATTTAATCCTAACCTTTACGAGGTGCACGATCTGGAATCTGGGGCTGAGCCCCCGCTTTCCAGGTGAGAATCCGACTGCCAAGCAGAGGACGTTGCTCTGTGTGCTCCAGGACTGCTCTAAGAGAACATGGCTCTAATTCTGATGTAAAGGCATTTGGCTCAGAAGACTTTCACGACTTTAACATCCCTTTCAGTTATTCCTGGAATGGAAAGTATTTAACTGCCATCTCTTCCTATAAACACATGACCTGTTTTTCCCCAAAGCAGAACAGATTCTAATCAAATACTTGTGTTTTTCCTGTTCTATTATCAACTAATCACCCAGTCTGATCTCTAAAATAGGCTTGAGACTATCATTAGAGCTATTTTATTTCTTAATCTGTTATAAAAAGAGGTAACCAAAATAATTAAACCTCCTATAAGGTTCCATTTTTCTTTTCCCCTATGATTTATGTGAAGAGTCTGATTTTTTTATTTTAGTATTCTAGTTTTTCTTTCTCAGCAAGCAATATTGGTGCTCTTGCAATCATTTTTCATGAACTGTGGCTAAGTGTTTTCTAAACCTTGGCTAAATCACTACAAACCCTCCTTTAAAATTTTTTTTTTTTAGTAGTGTGTTTTACCTTAGAGGGCTTTTTGGTGGCTTCTTGCAGCTCGGTACAAGGAGTCACTTTTAAAGGCACACAGTTATAGCTAGGCAGAATGCATATGTGCATACATACAACTTCATATTGGCTTTGGACTATGTTCAGGAATGCACACATCAAAAGGAAATAATTTGTAACAACATTTAAGAAAGTCTTATTTGTCTGATCTCATAGCCTTAAGATAATATGCTATTCTGGTGAGAAAAAACAAATGGTAAATGAAAAATTTATTTTCAGGAATGTTTGAACTGGGAAATTACATGGCTTCATCCACAAGATCTTGTGCATTTGCCATCAGCTAAGCTGAAGTCTCCTCTTACAAAATTAAAAATCAGTGTCTATGGCCTATTCAGGAAAAAAAAGAAGCCAAACAACAGTGAATTGATAAAGGGAGTTAGCTTTATTAAGGAAAAAAAATCAATTTCTTCATCACTACACATCTTGAAACAAATTATACCAAAAACTCATCATCAGAAATGTAGCATGATTTTCAAAGATGGACAATTTTGGATTTCATCTATAATATGCAACATACCATGCAAAAATTTGTTTAGAACACTGATTTAAACTCATCTGTTAACTTCGTAAATTTAAGAGGTGATGATATTTGCAAAAACTGTTTTATGTAATAGAATGGCACATCATAAAAATAAAAATAAAAAGCATCAGTATTCATTGGCTTATAAAAGAAGAAAATGTACAGCTCTAGGGCTCAGAAATAGAGTAGAAATTGGTTTCTGCTGTTATCACACAGTGCAAGAAAAAATCATGTTTATTAAAAAAGTCTGGGAAAAAAGCCCATGTCTTTAAGTACATCCAGTGCTGTACAGCCCCTGAGGCTGTAAAGCTGTACAGTGAAAGTTTAAAGCACATAGGAACTTCATTCAGTGTGAGTATCAAAATGCTGTTACTGGGGGCTGAATCTGTCCTTTTTCCTTGAATACTTTTATTTTGAAGGAGATGGGGAAGGGTTATTTGTGAAGGTAAAGCAGGTTAAACAACTCCTGCTTTCTGCTGCTCTGTTGCACAAGGTGAATTGCTGTTGTTCCTGCTGCAGGTGTGGAGGGCAGTGTC